CATTTGTGAGTGTATGCCAGAGGAGTGTCATACACTGAGCCTGCATGAGCAGAGACATTTCTTCTAAAAACCACGGTTGTTTTAGTTCTAGGTGAGGCAAAACTTCACACTACAGTAAAAAGATTCTGGTTTCTAAGAAATTACAGTGTAAAAATACTAATTATTAGTCATTCTTGCATTCCCATTTGCAGGATATGTTTGTTCAAGTTCTTTAAATGTACATAGAGCACTCTTGGAGTTCATATATTGAGAGCAGAATCTATAGGTTTTCTCTGAAATCTTCCAGAATTAAGTGAATTTACTTGATTTGGAAACAAGGCTGTCTAATAAAGTATCAATTCTCTGTTTCAGACATGCAAGAAAGCACTTCAGTCAGGCTGAGGGAAGCCAGCTGGATGAGGTTCGACAGGTGATGGGAATGTTGGCCTTTCCTTCAGACACTCATATCTCTCCCTATAAGGTAACATTGAAATTCTGTGCTACAACACAATATTTAAACAGATGTTTCAGTTCTTTTTTCAGCACAGGAAAATGCATTGATAATATCAAGATAAAGGGGTTTTTTTTAAATTTTACTTCCTAAATTCCACCTTTGTAAGAGTTCTTAATTTTAGTAACTAGTCCTTGTACATTAATCCAGAAAGTATTTGTATTGTTTCAGTTGGATTGTAATAGTAACATGGATTCACACTGAGCTAAGCTTACCATAAACCCAGCATTAGAGATCTGGAAGCACAATAATTAAATACACAGCAAGAGACAGAAGATGGGGAAGTACAAAGGAAAAAAAAAAAAAGAGGGAGTCTTGTTCAACATACGAAACTGTGGTTTTAATACACCAGCAGCAGTTCTTAATTCTACTTCTCGCTTTACTGTTGTTGCAGTGGTTGAGATGAAGAAATGAAGGATGGTTGGAAAGCAGTATTTTTGTTCCTTCAAATAAATTTTAATTTATTTGGATTATGCAAATTAATGTAGATATTAGTGGTAATATCTACATCTCAATTTAAATCAAGCAAAATTCACAGATAGCTACTGTTTCTGCTGAGTTTCGTTGTGTGGTCATGTGCTAATTCACTTCTTTTTAACTTAGCTTTGGAGGCAGAAGGTAGAGAAGAGCTGAGCTGTCAAAGCAAGACAAGAATTCCATGAAATGCCAAGCCAATATGTGGCAGTGCCAGTATAAACACGTTTTCTAAACATGATGATGAAATCATGGTTTAACAAAACAACCACACAAAAAAAAGCCCTGAAACGAACAACCCACAGAATCAATGTGAATTTCTTTGCTCATCCCAGAGTCCTGGAAGCATCCTGGTATTTTACATGCTAGATTTGATCTAAGTTATGAATATAAATGATAGATGTGTTAGAAGACTGGGTGTAAGATAGAATTTATCAATATTTTAGTAGTTAGAAAGAAATAGGTAGGAAATAAGAATCCTTTATTTTATTCTAAGGGCTGGTTTGGATGGAGTGTTTTAATGAGGGAGAAATAGCTGGGATTGTTCAACCTACAACCATACAATGAGAAGAAATTCCCTAATACTTATGGGTATGACTTAAAACATTCTGGTTTATGGAAGTTAAGTTTTGAGTTCTCTAATAATTACCTAGTTCACCACAATTACAGCACATGGTTGTTTGGAGTTACCTTTAGTATCTTGACTATGAGTTCTGTGCATAAATGGCTTCCTAAAATGCCTTTAAGTAAATTCTTTTTAAATCTGTGACAAAGTTTGTGAGATCATATCTCTAACCAACTGATTTTTATTAATCCAGGGAAAGAAGTGTCTTCTATAACCATTGAATAGAACTTTCTCTGGCTTTTCCTCTGTCAGGACTTTAAGGAAAACATTCACTGTTGTGGCAGAACAAGCTGTTTTTTTGATAGCTGTTGAACAATGTTATGTCCCTTTGCCTTCCACTAGACCAGATTTCTTGGAGCCCAATCCAACCTGGTCTCCAACAGTAGAATAATTGAATTGTAAAGGTTGGAAAAGGTCTCTGAGATCATCCAGTCCAACCATCAACCCAGAACCACCACTAAACCATGTCCTCATCTGCCCTGTCCTCATGGTTTTCTCCAGGCTAAACACTCCCAGCTCCTTCAGCTGCTCCTCTTCAGACTCATGCTCCAGACCCTTCCCCAGCTCTGTGCCTTCTCTGGACATTCTCCAGCCCCTCAATGTCCTTGTGAGGGGCCCAAAACTGAACACAGGACTTGGGGTGTGGCCTCAGCAGTACAAAGTTCTACAGACAGGACATCCACAGCCTCTCTGGCAGCCTGGTCCAGTGTCTGACCACCCTGACAGCAAAAAACTCCTTGCTAATGTCCAGTCTAACCCTGCTTTCTTTCTGTTTGTTCCGTGGCCTTGCCACAAGTCCCTCTCCAGATCTTGTGTAGCACCTTTAGGTACTGAAAGGTGCTGTAAGGTGTCCCCAGATTGTTGCTCCTAGTTTCCTCAAAGTGTAGCATGCAGAGTTGGCAGTATGATCAGTATAATAGCTATATGATAAATATTATATAAAGGTAAATAAATATTGTCACTCCTGCTGACCAAAGTGCAGGTTATAGATACAAAGGATAAGAAAGAAAGGATTGGGTGTCTGCCTGTATAGATGACACTAAGTATATTTTCAAAGGATCTTCCCTTCTTACATGACTCTTCAACAGCATTGCTTTTAAAACTCAATGTATCCTTGACCTGTGGGTTTAGTTCCTACTTCCATTAAAATAAAAATCCTGATTTTTAGGTAACACACAGCATTAAATAACTTTGTCTCTAAATGAGTAGCTTATGCAAGCTTTCTCTAACCTGGGGTTGTGGCAGCTTCTTCAAATTGAAATCTTTTTACAAAATTATGTAAATATTGGGTATTGTAATTGATTATCAGCAGAATTAGTCTGCCTTAAGTTAAAAAACATTTCTGACTTTTTGATGTTAGTGGTTCAGAGGCTGTAGAAGAAACATTCCACAGTGCTAGTGTTGTTTCCTATGTAGTCCAGCATTGTAGGAAACTAAATGGAGGAAGTAACCTCACCAGGATTTACCTACCTCAATTCATTATTTGGTAGATGATGGAGATTGAATATTGTTCCAGCTATTTTAAATAATACTTGTTTTACTAAAGTAGTGTTAAAAGGTACTGTTTAAACACTATGCATTGGTGGCCACTTCTGGTTTGTGATGGGCTTGCACAAGTGACTTTTGCACAATTTGTCACTCCCAGGCTTTTGCTCCCTGGGACAATTAGATTGAAGCAACTTATAGTTGTGTTGTTTTTTAACAGGATCTCTTGGACCCTGCTCGATGGAGAATGCTGATCCAACAGTTTAGATATGATAACTACAGACTACATCAGCTGGGAAACAATTCTGTTTTTACTATAACACTCCAGGCAGGCCTTTCAGCTATAAAAACACCGTATCCTTTAAAGCAGATATTACTGGGAGTGAAAAAGAAGCCATGTTGGGGTTTATTTTTGGTTTATGGAGGCTTTTCAGAGAGCTCAAATAAGAAATGTGACACTTCAATATTTTTGCTCATGAATTGTTCAAATGGGGTATAAATTGGTCACTACTAAATTAAGGGGGATTGTAATAAATAGCATTATGGTTTAAAAAGAAGGCATGCCCAAACAAAAAAGGTAAAATGTAACATTGTGTTTGGTTTGGCTGCCTTTTCATGTCTGAAATTAGTGAATATGCCTGCAAGGGTTAGGGAGCTGGGTCACAATTACTGGTTTTTAAGCATTTAAACACAAATTTACCCCAGATTTTATGTGAATATTCAAAAACAGCTGCATCTTTTGAAACTTTGTTGGGTTTGCTGCACAGTGTGTTGTGCTGGAGAAGGGCTGGTGCTGCTGGAGTGCTGCACCTCAGAAGCTTTAGCTGTGCCAGACACACATTTTGCTCACTCTCCTTGAAACAGAGCAAACCCTTGATTCTTTTGTGTGGACATTAAACTTGAATTAAATGTTCCTTTGCATTCTGTCACCTGGGCTCTGCTGGCACAGCTGACGATCTTCTAATTTTAAGGTTTCCCATCCAATGGGAGGGTAATTATGGTTTGATTGTGGTGATTGTTCCCTAACTTGCTGTTAACAGACAGTGTTATAAAGAGGATGGGAGCTCAAAAAACCCCGACTGCCCTGTGTGTAGCAAATCCCTGAACAAGCTGGCTCAGCCCCTGCCGATGGCACATTGTGCCAACTCCCGACTAGTCTGCAAGATTTCGGGGGATGTAATGAACGAAAATAATCCTCCTATGATGTTACCAAATGGATATGTCTATGGATACAATGTAAGTGTTGGAGTCAATCACTTGCTGGAGGCTAAAATAGCAGCTGTTAGAATAACTTGCTAGATCAAAATAAGAGCGTATAAACTCAGTCAGAAGCTAGAAGAATATTTCTTGCAGTAATGTTTTTTTAAGGACTGTATATTTAGCTGCTTAAATTGGTCTTAATGAAGACATATTAATGGTCACATACCTAACTATGTGAATTTATAACATGAGATCAAATGGCATTGGAAATCTTTCCCTCCAGAGAGCAATAATGTAGAATAAGTAACTTCTGGGGGCAAAGATGTTTTGACCTCAGACCACAACATTTTTTTAAATTAAAAGTTCATTTCCTAAACAGTTCAATAGTGCTTTGAATAACCGTTGTGAATATTATCTTTTGGTTTCGCTCTTTTTCAGTCTCTGCTTTCTATTCGTCAAGATGACAAAGTAATTTGCCCAAGAACCAAAGAAGTCTTCAACTTCTCACAAGCTGAGAAAGTCTACATCATGTAGGTCTGTAAAACACAGGATGAAGTGCCGCTGGAATTTTGACACAGTGTATCTTGGCATACCCTGTAAAGGGGGGGGCCTTAATGTGTGGCAAAGAAGCAAAAGCTGCCACCTTGGGGAGCAGACCTGTCGGTGGCATTATTGTTTCTTGCGACCAAAGATCAATGAGCAACAATAAACACTCTTGAAAGGAAAAAAAAAAAAAAAAAAAAAAAAAAAAAAAGAAGAGAGGAATTATGACTTAAGTTTGTACTTGAATAAAGAACACAAAAACAAATTTTGATTGTTAAGGTTTTGTAACATAAGATCAAAAATTGGACTCTTCTCAAAGAAAAGTACTTTCATCTTCTAAAGGATAGCTTTCTTTAAAGATGGACACTTGCACTGGGGGAAAACTTACAACAGATTTGAAATGAAATCCATTTTTCTTCCCTCTTTTTCACAATTGTCCAAGACCCTTTTCTTATCAAAGATCTCAGTACTACCAACGTGTTCTCCTTTAAGCTCCTCTTTGCCTTCTTTGTGATCCTCTGGTGAAGTAATCCTGAACATGAATGATGTAACTTATTTCCATGGGAAGATATTTTTGATGTCTTTGACACAAGGTGGCTTCTCTGGAGGATCAAATAGGGACTGGTTCCAAGGAGTGAAGTCTTTTTCGAAACCCAAATATTTTAAGGAGGTTGCATAAGTATCAAGAAGAACTGAGAACATTTCAGGCAAAATCCAATGCTTGTTTAAATGTTCTTTTTCCAGTCTACCATAGTGTTAAAGTCCTTCTAAAGTTATTAGTTATGTGCATAGGGTTCAATATGAAATCATTAGTGCTACTGCCTTATTTCTTGCTTTGAGAATGTACTCACATGACAATGAGCTGGTATTCTTAAGTGTTGGGCGAAGTTTCTGAAGATGCCTTGCAGGATGATTACATAATTTTAGGGTCTAAATAGTATTCATTACTGAAACTAATAGTTCAATTTTAACAACTGCAGAACACATCCTTATGACTTTTGAAAAGAATTAAACCATTGTAGTTTAAACAAAACCATATTGTAGAGGTTTGTATTTAGCGCTTATTTTTGCATGTTGATGTTGATTAGCTAATAAAAGATTGTAAATGTAAGACATGTTAATAAAAATTGTTTTCCATTTCTTGATTATATAAAATTAGAAAGCTGTTTTGTGTTTAAATGTAAAAAGAATTAACTCTCAGTGGCCTCTCTTCAAGGTAGTGGAACTTCCCAGTGTTGGTTTTCAGTGTTCTGCAAGATTTAAAAGAAAAAGAAGAACGCTAACAACACACATGCATACAAAAAACCAAACCAAAAAAACCCAAAAAATTCCCCAACAAACAAAAAAAATGCCACACAGCAGCCATAAATGTTGTCCTTCAGAACATTTCAGTCAAATAGGTATTTTTGGTTTAAACTTTTCATATATGAACAGTATACTCCAGGGGTTTTTCTGTCTCTTCCTGGAACACTGCCTCATGTCCTAGAGCCTTCCTGTTAATAAAATGTTGTGGGTGATGTTAGGTGTGGGTTTTTCATGCTTTAAAGAATGCTAACAAAGCACAGACAAAGGACCACAGCTTCTTTTTATGTTCAACACTTAAAGGTCACAGATATTGCTAAACTGCTGGTACTAGCCACTGTGAACTGTAAATACTTGGGCTTTCCAGGGAGGTGTGTCTGAAAAAGTTGCATTTTCAGCGGGCATCAGTTATTGATGCTTCAGAACATTCAGTGTCTGTACCACTGCAGTGCTGCCAGCTTGGCACAGGCCACTGCTCTGCACTCACTGCTGCAAAGGACGGCTCTGTTCTCTGGGCATGTTCTGAAGTGGCAGATTTAATGATTCCTTAGAACAAATGCAGTGTACCAAGAGTAGGTGGGGACTCTTCCTTTCTCCTGGCAAGAGTTGGAGCACCCTCAACTCAGAGAGGGGGAGGATGTCACCCTGAGGAGCAGTGCTGCTCAAACCCATGTGGCACCTCTGTTTCTTTGCACCACTGTTTACACCATCATTGCAGAAGGGCAAGCATAGCTTTGAGCATGGCAATCTCATTTTTCCCTACTTTACAGGAATTTATAAAAGGCCAAAGCAGGAAAGAAGCAGTAGATTTCTACTGGACCTCAGGGAATGTGTGGTAAGTGCACAACAACTGTAGGATTGTTAGGAAGGAAAGGAAATTGTTGCTTTTGCTTCTCTTAAAGACCAGTTAGAGCTGTGGTTTCCTGAGACTAGCCTTTTTTGATTTCTGTGACCTGAGCAGAGTGGTGGAGAAACCCACACTCTCCAAAACAACCTGGTTTGGGATGGGAGGAGAAGAGAACAGCTGTCCTACAAGGAGGGCCTCAGTTCCTGGGAGGTGTGATTCCAGAGGGCCAGGTGCCAACAGGAGGCCTCAGTCCCTGATGGTGTGTTACAAGGGAGGCTTCCAGAAGGAGCGTAGGGGAGCTTCAGCTGTTTGTTAGCTCTGGTTGCTCACTTTGGAAAGCTGCAGTCACACAGCCCGTTCTGACTGCAGCAATGCCTGTGTGCCACAGGCAGCTGCAGCCTCCTGGCTGCTCTCAGGCTTGCTCTGCCATGGCTCTGGCAGCCCCCAGCTGTATGAGGGTCAGAAATGGTGGCAGTCTGTTCTGCTTTGGTGCAGCTTGGAGCCCTGGTTTGCATTCCCTGGCTGCTCACAGCTGTGAGCTCCTGATCCAACAGAGGTGTTGGTTCACAGCTCATCTCGCAGGTGGCCCCAGACATCACACCAAGAGTAGGTGACTTAAAGTATAAAGTCATTTGAGATGGTAGAAGCTCTCTAGTAAAGCAAAGACTTTCCTCTCAAGATCTGGCTGAGCTGGAAATGAACACTATCCTTCACTGGGATGTTTTTTCAGTCTTGCCAGGCAACTTGGCAAGACTCTGGATTTTGGTTGTGGTGTTCCTGTTTGAAGGCAGCAGTTTGTCCCAGTTGTGATCAGGACAGGTTACTCTGATTCCCACAGTTACACCAAGGATGAGAATTGCCTTATCCTTCTGTTTGTTGTGGTCCAAAGCTTTACTCTAAATGCTGAAGGTTTTCCAGTGTTGCAAAAGAGAGGTACTGGTAACTCTTGACAGTGCCCTGATGGTTTTTGGTACCTGTTTCAGCTTCCATTATCTTCCAGGCTGAGAAGGGTTCAAGATGCTGAGATCACAACATTTTGTAGGTAGGAAATAGCAAAGCTGATACCAAACTCAGGCAAAACATTTTCCTGCTTTAAAGCTTTAAAGACTGATGAAGTGGTCAGGGTTTGGAGGGTTTTTTTTAATACAAGCATGGCCTTTTCTACTCAGTAATAAAATTACTCTTGTGGAAAAAAAAAGAATATATTATTTGGGACAGGAAGAATGAGAAAATTACAGCTGGAAATCTGCCAAAAAGAAGCCTTTGAACATGCATAATGGACCACTATTCAGAGGAAAAAAAAAAAAAAAAAAAAGGAATAGTCTGACTTGCTTTTTTCCCAGCCTCAGGTAGCCTGAGCAGAAGCATTGGGAAGCCCACTAAACACTTTTATTGAGGGTGCTTTGTGACCCACAGTGACAATGTGCACTGGGTGTCCTGCTGCACAATGGAGGTCACTGGATACAACAAAATGAGTATTTAAAACTTTTCAATCCTGAGTTTTCATGTTCCATAATGAGGAAGTTTGAACTCATTATTCCAAACACCAAATAAAGCCCAGCCTAGATCCACATGATAGGTGATCGAGTCTGATCTTCATCTCATCCTTGAACAGATAAAGTAGTTTCCAGTAGTTTCCTCTAGTCACTGAATCTATTCCTTCTTTGATGATGAGGGGGGTCAGATATTCACCAGGATCTCCCTGCCATTTTGCTTTTCCAGAGATTCGGTGTCTGCTTGGTTCTGCATCATGCATCAGCCACACTGAAAGGCAGCATTTTTCTTAATTCAGTCATTAATTTTAGACTTGGCCCTGTTAGCTAAGCTCTGAGGAGTTTTCAGGAGCTCAACTTCCTCTTTGTTTTAGAAGGAGATGTAGGATGGGCAGAGCAGGACAGCAGAATTTCTTAACTCTTTACTAACACATCCTCTTAGAGCCAGATAGGTTCTGTATGTAGAAGTATCTCTGGCACAGTCAGGGGGAAAAATTTTGCAATCAAGGCCAGCAAGAGGGAGCAAGAAGTTACAGTTCAGTTACTGTTGGATGTGAGGGCTGAAGATGTTTTTGGCACAGCACAAAGCAGTTCTACCTTACAGCTGGCTTTTGTGAGAAGTTGTGTGAGAGCTAGGCATTGAAAAAAAATACTCATAAGAGATGTAGTCCTGATCTCAGTTTGAAATGAAGTTCTAAAACTGTACATGGGAGTTCTTAACATTAAAAATAAAAATAAAATTAGTCCTCATTGCTAGCTGGCAACAAGTTGATTGCACTGAGGAGCTCACAGTTGTCAGTCAGGTATTTTCAACTACACCATAAAATCCTGCTATTTGATCATGTCACAATTTTCAGAGATCTGTATGCCAAGCCAGAGGAAATCAGCTGTAGGATAAGCAGCACCACAAGAAGAACAATAGCAAACAGCAGAACAAGAAACAAGAAAAGCTGTTTGGTTTGACAATCAAAAACGAGATCAAGCATCAGGGTGGAACCAAGAAATGTTATCAGCCAGTTACCTTTCAAAGAGATTAAAATACCGAAGCTTTTAAAAGTGAAAGAAGAAAAAATTAACATGGAAGTACTGTGTGACAGAGATCCAGACTTTGTTACAAAACTGCACCCAGCACCTTGCTGCTTGCTCCCAATAAAGATGGGAATGTGCAACATCAGTGGGCAGCGTGGAGAGGGAGATGCACTGAGGAAACAGAAATAACTTAGCAACATGGAAGTGAAAAAAACTGGGTCTGTTACAGAAACCAAGTGATCAGTCTCCTGGGATTGTTAATTGTTCACCTCTAATGGAAAGAAGCTGCTCTAGTGCCCAGTCTGGGAATCAGATCATGTAGAATCAGAATGGTTTGGGTTGGAAGCGACCTTGCAGATCACCTCATTGCAACCCCCTGCCATGGACAGGGACAGCTTCCACCAGATCAGCGTGCTCCAAGCCCTGCCCAGCCTGGCCTTGGACACTGCCAGGGATCCAGGGGCAGCCACAGCTTCTCTGGGCACCCTCTGCCAGGGCCTCCCCACCCTCACAGTAACAAAATTCATCCCTATATCGAATCTAACCCTGCCCTCTGCCGGTTTGAAGCCCCTGCCCTTGTCCTGTCTCTCCCCGGCCTTGTCAAAAGTCCCTCTCCAGCTTCCTTGTAACCCCTTCAGGCTCTAGAAGGTGCAGGAAGGTCTCCCCAAAGCCTTCTGCAAGCTGAACACCCCCAGCTGTCTCAGCCTGTCCCCACAGCAGAGGGGCTCCAGCCCTCTGATCACCTTTGTGACCTCCTCTGGCCTCGCTGCAGCAGGTTCAGATCCTTCTGGTGGTGGGGCTGCAGAGGGGTCTGGTGCTGCTGTGCTGGAAGCTGGAGCACTCCTGGGTGTTCAGGTCATCTCTTACACTGCAGCTGGAGCAGAGAAATCACTGAGCTGTTCAGTTTCCCAAACTAAAATGGAAAACTAAAGCTGGTTAAGTGGGGGATAACATCTGTACCTACTCCTTTGACACTATTTCCTATCCCATAAAATTAATTTTTTTTGTTGTGCATTTAAGGAAAGAGTTACACCTACCCCACAGAGCAGAGGAGCAAATTTTCCCAGGGAGATCATCTTCCTTCCCAGCCAGGACTTTTTCCTGATAGAGCCAGAAGGAAGAATGAGGAGAAAAAGATTATAAGGTCTATTCACTTCAGGACAAAAAGATCTTTAACTAACTTAAATATTTTGTTCCCCACCCATGGAGATTAAGCAGGATCATATAGACAGATTCCCCAAAAGGAAATAAACAGATAATAAACCAGCAGACAATTTCCTTTTCTTTCTTTGCAAACCACAGCAAGACAAATTGCTCAGAAGAGCAAGGAGCAGAGCTGTGGGAAGTCCCTCAGGGTGGCTGTGTGTGCCTCTTATGGAGATGTCTCCTCTTTCAAGTAGCAGCTTTAGGGATGCAAACCAGAGAAATATTTTTTTTAAATACTGGAGGGGTCAGAGGGAAATGTATCTTAGAGAAGCTCAAGTTGTCCTGGATGCAGTCATTAAGGAAAACCTTGTACTAATTCCAGCCAGGCAGGGCATCATCCTGGCATTGTGCTGTAATGCCCAGCTAATGCCTCCACTGGAACCAGCTCTGTGCCCCGCTGGCAGAACTGCTCTGGGACAGCAGAAACCCAACAGGCAGGGTTTGAACCCCTGGCTGCTTGCTGCAGCCTCCCTCCTTTTGAGGTGGCTCCTTGGTGGCAGCTGTTTTGCTCAGTGGTGTGGAGGAAGAGGCTCTGTCTCCATGAGGATCATGACACGATTTTCTATTTTAAATCCTGCACCCTCAAGTCGCTGTCTCATTGTCCTGCTTCTCCGTGCACAGGAGCTCATGAAATTATTTGTTCCTATTTGTGGCCATAAGCAACATCCCTTTACAGGGCTGACTTTCACCAGGAAATGGAGAAGAATTCAGGCTGGGTGCTGGGGGATGCACCAGGAGAGCAGCTCTGTGGGTGGCTGCAGGAGCGAGGGAAGCAGCAGCAGCAGCTTGTGCTGTCTGTGCCAGCTGCAGACACCGGAGCAGAGCAGAATGGGGAGCTCTGCGATGGAGGGAGGATAACCCCCAGCTCTGATCAGCTGAGTGCAGTGACACATTCCTGTCTCAGGAGTATTCCAGCCTGCTTCCTGCCTCTTTCCTGGAGTCAGCATGAGGCTTCAGCCAAACAGGCTTGGAGTCTGTAAATGGATCTTGCCCTCAGGGTATTACAACTTGCCCATCCTCTGGGTACAGAAGGCGCCTGGAGCAGCTGAGCTGCCAACCTTGGTGTGTGGGAGCTGAGCCACGGCCAGCTCCAGGAGGAACAGCCCTGGAATGGGACAAATACCATGGAGTGAGTGATCCTATCTTGTCAGACAGGGAAGAATAGATGAGAATTGATGCTGCTGATGCAAATCTGCTGGCTTCTCTTTTCCAGCAGCACTTTGCAAATGTTGATCTCAGATATACATACCCTCTGATGATCCAGGCTTTGTGGCATCTGTTTTCTTTGAATGTCACTGTCACATTCATTGCCAGCTATCTGGCTTCAGTGCTGCATTATCCTATTTCAAAAAACAGTGAATAAACAGGGTGCTGGTGTTACAGGACAGCTAATGATTCAGTTTAACTACCAGGTAGAGAGAAAAGCCCAGAGGCTACAGCTGAATTGCTGGTTTGCTCTTTCAGTGAGTAACAGACCTCTGACACACTTAATTTTTATAATAATTGGAAAGAATGTCACCTGTCCTGTTAAGAGAGAAATTATCCTACCCTCAGCCAAAACATACTCCCTGTGTCTCTGGAACCTTCTTCTGAGGAGGTAAAGTTAAGAATTCCTCACTGAAGTAAGATTAGCAGCTGCCACATCCAGGAATACCTCCCTTATTCTAAACCAATTAGCAAAGGATAATGACTGCTTTCTTTGCACTGGGAAACCATAAATAACATCTCCTGTGATCTCTGCATTTGAGGGTGTGAGATTTTTATCTGAATAAAATGTTTGGCTTAATTATTTTCCTCCACATCTTGTATTTCCAGGAACACCATTAAAGAAATCAGAGTGCTGGTGTCAGTTTTGTCAAGAATCTTTGGGCCAGTGAACCTAACACTGAAACTTTGGGTGGCTATTTAAAAAATATTATTTCAAAATAACACCTCAAGGTATAGGTGAAGATCATGCTCAGGTGAAGAGATACTAAAAGATCTAGGCTAAAACATGAAGTCTCATAGAAAAAGTTTCTGGAATGTTCTAAAAACTTTGCGCAAATCCCATTAAATACACCAGTATGGATCAGTTCTGTTAAAATACCAACGATTTAAAATGCCAACTCACAGCTTCATCTGCTCCAAGCACTTAGAGGGGCTGCTCCCACCATTACAGGAACCTTCCTATCACCCTTCTCTGTCCTTGGGTAATTGAGTCCTGAAATTTGGAACATTCTTGAAAACTTCCAGTAGTCACTTTTAAATCAAGGATGCTTCAGAGAGACACAATATCCTTTTTCTTACACTCTATTTGCAAAACCCTCTCCCTCTGTGCTGCCCCCTCTCCAGGATCCACTGATAACTCCACAGCAGGAGTATCCAGGTCCTGCTTTAACAGTGACTCTCTGAGTCACCAGGATTTTCATGTCCTGCCATCTCTGTTTTGTCTAAAAAGTCTTCTCTGTAATGTAATGCCTTCCAAAAGAGCCAGTGGCAACAGATCTCCAGTGTCCTGATTTTGGATGTCGAGTCTTTACAATCCAGGGCTGTTTGGTTCAAGCACATCTGTCAGAAAAACATCATCATGACACAGAGAATCTGTTTCCTCACTGGTAAAATATGTGCCTGGTTTCCAGTTTGAATTCATCTTTTGTTCCTTGTGTTTTTCACTGCTATACTCAGAATCATTTAATGTGATATTTTCCCCTGAAGATAATTTTATTTCATGAGCAAGTTACCCAGCAATAATCAAAACTGATTTAAATCTTTACTAGTGGGCACTATTGCAACTATTTATTTTCTGCTGTTTGTTCTTGTACCCTTCCTATATGCCACAGAATTTTTAAAAGAACTTTATAAAATGCATATTATTTTAGTATTTGCTGTGCTGTTTACACATTTTACAGAGCTTAAACTACTTAGTGCTTTTTGTTATTGCTCTGAAACTGTTTAACCCTGCTGTTCCCACAGTGTGATTCTGTATAATAGAGACATATTTGAAATTTGCTGATGGTTCTGAAATAGCAAGAACTGCTGCTTTTCTATGCAGCAAATAGAGAATATGGATTGACATTAAAATATTCCTGTGCAGCTCAAGATCTGTGATGCTTTTGAAGAGACAATGCAGTGTATTTCTATGTCAGATAGATTTTGTTCCCTAGGGTTTTTATTGCACCATTTAAAACAGAGTCCAAGCAGTTATAGAAGCATTTGGAGATGACAGAAACCATACTGATTGCAGATAATTTGGATTCATGTTTGTAGTAAGCAAAGTTACACTGAGTTTGACACGTGCAATGGACGTGTCAAACTCAGTGTAACTCAAATCATTTCCTCTGGAGCCACTTTAACCAAGCTGTGGTTATGGTGCCCAGGGCAGTGCTTTGGCTGCTCTGTTGTGATTTCAGTTCACCACACTGGCCTTTCAAGGTAGAATCATTTCTCTGACAGGAACAGTTTTTACAGTTATAAAAAGAAGGGAAAATAATTTTTTCAGCAGCTTTTTGGTGTAATCAAGCTTTTTTCATTGATTTCTTAACAAGCTCAAATATCTTCCATATTGATTTTTTAATTGACTTTAGAGTTTGGGGAGGAGGGAGTGTTTTTGTTGGGTTTTTGGGGGGAGGTGAGGTTGATTTTATTTGTTTTAGGTGGTTATTTTTCTGTGTGCATGTGTGTTTAGAAAAAAGGCAGAGTACCACTAGACACTTTTAATGCTTCTGGATTTTTCTGTATCTATATTTTGGTTTACTCAATTCATTTACCTCTAAAAGCACAGTAATTCTTCTTGGAAAATGCCCCAACCTTCAGTGCTTTCTCAGAGACATGTGTTCTCTTTTAAACTGTCATTGAAATTGTTTCTATGATATGATACTCAGGAATGCTTTGTTCAAACAAAATCTCTCCTTTGCCTATTTTATTGTGAGACTGTGGTTATGTTTAAAGGTTCAGATCTGTTTCAAGATTTACTCCTGGCTTGGAAACACTGTGGCTTTGCACAGGGATGGAAGATGCAACAGAATATGGGAAAAAGGGTTGAGAGTGGGGTTCTTAAGAGACATTATATATATATATATATATATATATGTATGTGTGTCTGTGTGTGTCTGTGTGTATGTATATATAGATAAATATAACATGCCACACTACCTCGCAGCCCCTCCTGCAGGAGTCTCCAGTGTCCCTCCACGTGTGGCTTTCCCCCCGGGCTGCTCCTAGAGGGGGGAAATAAATCGAGTTTATGGTGTGTGTAATTCACTAGGCACACATGGGGTAAAGAGTGACAAAGTTCACAGCCTTATAATGTCAATTTTTACTCTTATCTGCAAATAAACTCTTCTTAAAAAGACATTATGCTCCTGTATAAATTTCATTTCTATTCCCATTTGAAAATGTATTTATCTGAAAAGTGTATTTCTCATAGAACTGTGAGCTAAAGTAAATTTTTTTTTCCCTGAAAAAGACATAGCTTTAGGGGGTTTTGGGGGATTTTGGTTGTTTTTGTTTGTTTGGGTATTTTTTTTAATTAAATAAACAGAACATTTTATAGATAGATGCAGAACTTTCTCCCTCAGCAGCCAGGAGGCCGTGTCTCTCAGGGGCTGTGCCTCTTGTGGCCATGCAGGAATGTGGTGACAAAGGCAGTGACAGAGTATTTGCTGTGATTTCAGCTGAGCAGAGGCTCTCAGTCACCCAGCTCAGACCAGTGCTGGCAGTGCACTTTCCTCTACTATCCCTATAAATATACCTTGAAACTACTGCCTGCCAGTGTTGTTTACATCTCAAAAAAATAAACCCCACACTTGACTAGAATTCAGGTTCCATCACCTGGAGCAGAACTGGATGTCAAGGACATAAAGAGAATTTTTTGTACAGTTTACCGAGCAATGTTCACCACAAATACTGCTTTTTCAGTATTTGAAATAATTTTACCACTCTGATTTGTGCAAAGAGGAAAAGCAGGAATTATTAACTTAAGAGGCTTTTTAGCAGTCAGGTGAGACAAGCTGAAACACAGAATAGGAGCGGCTGCATGAGCAAGACCGCTGAGGTCACCCTGCAGGAGGTGCTGCTGCTCAAGGGATGGGATCACATGTGCTGGCTGTACCTGCAAGTCTCATTCCAAGCTGTACTGAGGTTCAATTGCCTAAAAAATTGTAAAACACTTAGGAATCCTAGCAGTGCAAAATCTAAAAGAATGTTAGTCAGTGGAACTGTCGTGACACATTTGCTGCAGAAACTGAGAGCATGCAAAGGGGTCCAAATACATGAAATATGAATAAATACTTTCCCAATCTGCTCCAACTTAGGTATTGAGCCACAGAAGTGCAACACACTTCCTTAAAAGCATAAATAAATAGCTACAGACACTTCACAAGACTTGTTATTACCTCCTGCTTTTCAAGACACTTTCTTCTTCCTTTTAGTTACACTTCAACATGTATTTCCCTCTCAAACTCTGGTCTTTGCACTCTATTTTTGTCCCAACTACCTCGTAATCTCCTCAAGCCAGGGACTTTCCTCCTGCCTGCAAAAGCTAACCTGTATAAATAATCTCTTCATAGACACAAGGCATTCTTTTATCATAACAGTAAAAGAAATTCCTTGGAATTTCTCCTTTTGATCCATGAGGCTTTCTTGCTCACTGCAAATACAAGATGATGGAAATGCTGAACAGGGCTGAAGGCTGAGAGCAGGATTTTATATTTTGGTAGTCTTGTGGGGGTCTTCTCCTCTGCACTCTCCTTTTCTCTGTTAACAACCTTCAAGCTGCTCCTTTTCTGCATGATCTGATCTGAGTCCTGCCTTACGGGCTGGTATCCCCCTGACCCCCACAGACACCCCTGTGCAGTGCACTTGGGTGTGCCTTGGTCTTTTTTGGGTGCATTCATGTACAAATGTCAACTCCTGGTGTGGATAGATATTGTCTAACACAGGGAAATGCTCATTAAGTTCCACTTTGAGTCTGCACAGATATTCCAGTGAAGAAAAATTTACCTTCATTGATACTAATCAAGTGTGTCCACATTGGTGTGCAGTTTCAGGAATTGCTGTAGAATCATTTTTAAAATTATTTGAGAGATGAATACAAGGTATGTGTAGGAAGGTGCTGCTTGATTTGTGATGGTTCTCCTACAGCTATTGCTGCTCCATCCAACTCACAAGTGGATATTTAATTAGTGATCTAGACCACACAGAGCAGGTTCATTCATCTCCTCCTATGACAGAATTATAAAATGTTACAGGAGGCTGAAGTGTTGTCACAGTCACTGTTGCACATAATTAGAGGAGGTCACCAAGCACCTTTGGCCTTGCATTATTGATGGTTTCATGAATAGGCCATTTCCCCTTTGAGAACATCTGTTTAAATGTACTCTTTAGCCCTTACAAGGTAGTTCAGAGCTCTGAAATATCTGTCACCCTTTTGCTCAACTCAAACTGCTAGTTCAGCATCTATTCAGCTCACATAGGTCATTTTCTTTACAACCCAATTGGCACAAACTCTATGACAATTTAATGTTAGTGTTTATCATGTTTCTGTATTTTCAGACCTGAAATGAAAGTTATTTTAGCTCCAAATTATTTGTAGGGAAGCCTTTCTTTGCCTAAGTTCCATTTTGGCAGGGGAAGAAATCCTCCTTTTTAATTTCAGCTGAATACAGCTATCTTAAAAGTTCTGGGGGGTTT